ATCTGTGAAGAGATGTGTCAGTGGGTCTGCTGTGGCAAGAAGCGTTGGAAAGCCTTCTTCATTTGCAACATGAATAAAACTGTTTAAACCAACAACAGAACTTTAGAAGTTACAGTTCACCTGCGAAATACCACAGAAAGAGATGCAAAAAGACCACCAATGAAGCAGAGGTTAAAGGTTATAAGTGTGTTGAACTAGTTTAATATCCAAAGTCCATTATCAGTGTTCTTTAGCCGCCCAAAAAGTAAAAACGCATATATACTGTAAACAACTGCTTTAACAACAATGTCTGTTTATCACAAGATACTGTATTGAACTCGATCCTAAAACCTTACTGGAGATAATAAGAAAACCAAGACAGCTGATCACATTGCTCCTGTTCTTAAACCTCCCGTTACTTAAAGAATTGATTTCAAAGAGCTGCTGCTAGTTTATAAATCCCTGAGTCAACTCGGGACAAACATAGGAAGCAGTCAACTGGTTGTACTTTGAGTCAGTGTCAAGCTGCTTTTAGCGACGACGCTGCTTACCGATGGAACTTCCTGTTGATCTCAGAGGCCACTTTCAACTCTAAATTTAAAAAAACTCCGCTGTTCTCCTGTGCCTGTCATTGATTGGTTTCTCTACTGCACTTTTTTCCCCTTTGTTGCATTTGAGGTAACTTACAGAGTGCTACTGCACTGTAATAGTATTTTATCTCCTTTTATTTAATTTTGAAATCTGTTTTTTCTTAATTGATTTTATTCTTTTGAACGTCTTTTCTTTGCCTATGTAAAGCCTATGTTTTCAGCAGGTGCTATGAAGCTGCCTACATTTACTCAAGTACTGTACTTAAGCACATATTCAACATACTTGTACTTTACTTGGGTTTTTCCATTTTATATAACTTCATACTTCTACTCCACTACTTTCTAACAGCTTTAGTTACTAGTTACTTTTTATGAAAATGAATTTTTCCAATAAACTGAAGGATGAAGAGTTCCTTTAATTCTCCTGTATTCTCCCTAATATTTGCATACTTTTACTTAAGTACGGTTTTGAATGCAGGATGTACAGTAATAATTACAGTAAGTACTTCAAAATGTTGCACAAATGGGCAACTTAATGTAAAATATGAGCAAAAACAGACACACCACAGTACATTTTCCTCAAAAATGGATGATTACGAGTTAAAAGTAGAAGATGAAAAGTGAAATAGTTTCCCCTCCTGTCAGGTAGTTTGTAAGCAGCACATGGAAAACCCTTTTGGCAAAGAGCAACTCTCCTGCTCATGGGTCATCGCAGCTTTAAGAGCTAGAGGAAAATAACCGGCCCTGCCCTCCATCATCCTCTCATCCCGCTGACCTCTGCGTACTGTATAGTATACTTACAGCACATGCAGAGGGAGAGCGGGAGGGGGGAGAAAGGAGAATGATTGCATATCTGAAGGCATCACGAGAGCAGATATGGATGGGAGAGGAGTGACATGGTCGGACACATCTTTGCTTTCTTATTAGTGAGCGCCTGTACCGACACTTTGGTCCTTTTTTATGGGGCCATGATGAAACCCCTCTTCGTGCATCTGCGGAAAATGGCCAGGGGAAATCACAGATGAGAATCACTCAAAGACAGGGAGATGTCAACAGGCACATAATGATAGCTGATGGCCCCAGAACACTCTCCCATTCTCCCTCTCAGCCTTACCTGCCCAAGTTGCACTATACTAGAAAACATAATTAGAGGTAAAACAGAGAGACAGACGCTTTATCTCTGTGTTTTCTGTAAGCAATGCTCTTTGTTTTATACATCTGGGAGTCCTTTTTCCCCCCTCCATCCCAATCTCTCTTTCACTTCATGGAGAGGAGGAGGAGGAGAGCTCCCTCTGTGAGATGCCAAGGTGCTCCCAGTCCATTGTGCTGCTGGCTGTCAGGTTAAATTAGGGAGTACAGGCTCTGTGAGTGTAAAAAAATCAATACTTGATGGAAGATTGCTCCCCGGAAAATCTGTTTTGATTCCAGGATTAATTCTTGACCAAAGGCTCCAGCAAAATGACATGCCATTAGCCTGAAAATGAACACATTCTGCAGTGGAAATTGGATGGAAATGTGTCAGGTGATTGCCCCGGCTGCTTGTTTTGACTCTTTGAGCGAGGGGACTGAAGGTGTGGCTGCCGTGAATGAATGAGGCCTCCGGGCCGACTCCATTTCCAGAGCAGAGACAGCTCCACCGTGGCCTCGGAGTGGTCTCAAGGCCATTGTTGTCCAGCAGCTGCAAATGCTTTCAAACAAGGTGAAAGGCATTTGCCCGCCGCCCGCTCTCTCCTGTGTTTTCCATAAAGCATGAAGAAAACCGGAAAATAAAACAAGGAGGTTTTGTTTTTTATTTCTCTCTCTCTCTCTCTCAACAGTGAAGAAAAGGGGGGGTGGGGGTGAGATGCATTATTGATGAATGAATATGAATGTGTTTGTCATGATGGACGACGTTTTCTTATTTGAAAACTTAAACAGGAAGCTGTAAAGATGCACTAGACAGTGATTTGAAGCGTCCAAGCTGCACTAAACATCTGTATGGAAGTGTTGTAGAGAAAAAAAAACATCTTTCAGAAGGAATGTTCCTTGTCTGGAACATTTGTTTGAGAAAACGGTTTTGATTTCTTGTCTAAAACGTGGATATGTCACCATAATGCATATGCAAAATAACACGTTTTTTTCTTATTATTTTCGTTTGTGTAAGTTCAATACTGTTCACCTCGATCCCTAAAGAGGCTAAAGTTCCTTTCTGACTTGATTTAATCTAAATGAAAACTAATCACCGTATATTACCAAGTGACATTGATCACATGGGCATTTTAATACAAATAACACAATCTGAGAACTTTTAGTAGCTGTTGAATCTCCAAATTGTCATTCTTTCATAAGATATGAAAAACAGCCTTGTTTAAGCTTTGTGACATTAAAAAGATAATTCAGTGTTTTTAGATTTTTTCGAAGACAAAGGAGAATTGTTTAAATCCATAATCCCTTTTTTATCTGAAAACCTAAAACTCATCACACATGGAGTTTTTAATGCACAGCAACGATACAGATATTTTCCTCAGCCTTATTTAAACTTTTCTTGGCATCTTGACTTTTAGAGTTTTTGCTTTAGAAAACAGTTATGTTTTGTTTGTTTTTTAAAAACATCCATAGCCAAACAGCCATAACCTAAAATGAAATAGTGTGAGTTTAATGTGTTTTACTATAAAATAAATCAAACAATACAAAACAGCCACAGTGCTGTAAGGATGACAAATATAAACTCCACAAATCTAAAAGAAAGGTAGTATATGTTTAGGGGTAAAATTGATCACCGATCATCTATAGACACAGTTGAGCTCTGACGCCGGAGGATGTTTGGTGTCGTTGACCAGACTCAGTTTTAGAGCGAGGCACTAGCGCCCCCTGCAGGATTGTAAAATGTTATCTGATGTGTCGCTAGATGGCAGTATGTACCGCAGCTTTACAGATTAGCCATAAACACCACAGAGGAAGTGTGCGTTAAAGGAAAAGTACACCCTAAAAGAAACTCCTCAGCGTTACCTTTTTATGTGCAAGGTTCAAACAAACAAACAAAAACCCACAAACAATTGAAAAGGCTGAAAAATAAAACAAGTCATCTTTATACAGCAGCATTCATCAAACATGGCGCAGGTTCATGTGAGAAAAAAGAGGCTGAAGAACCCTTCTTCAATGTGCAACAATTGATGTGCTATTTATTCACAATTAAAACAAGACCAATTAAATTAGCTGTTTGCTTGATTCAACTTAATGTTATCAAGATTCAAAGAGATCCATTTGTGAAAGTCAAACCAAAACCTTTTGGTATCAGAGCAAAAAAAATGTTCAGTTAACTGTCACTCCTCTAACTAAAAACAGTCTCATGTAGTCCCTTAATTTCCAGCTGTGAAATGTAACTAAGTACTGTGGCCACCTTAGGAACAAGTCTGAGGTAGTTATATTTGTCCAAAAGGGGTATAAAAAAATCTAATATATCACAAACAAAAAGCAAAGATAAGAGAAAAGTCCCATATGTAAATAGTGTGTAAATGTTTTCACCTTTCCTTTCCAATTAATCACCTCACAACCGCTCATATTTATCCTGATTCCTGAAGTAAGAAGGCTCCACCTTGACCAGCTGCAATAGTAAAATGCGGGTTACACATTTATGCATCAGAATTAACAATCTAATAATGCCATCCTTTGAAGGCAACCAGTACTATAATCCATCACTGTGGCAGCACAACGCAAAGTACACAAAACATAATTACATGAAAACAATATTTTAGAAATCGAATTATAATATATTGAGGCTATGTACTGTAATATATATACAAATATTACAATACATCAATATAAGTTGCAAAAACAAATGCCCATGTAGCCTCTTTGTATACTTATATATGTATATATATGTAAATTCACAAACTGAATGTGACATGGATTGAGGCCATGCAAGAGATTTACAACAAGTTTAATTTGCAAATGAACAACGAGCTGTGGAAATCAGCATTATCAACAATGAAAGCAATGCATGGGTGTGTGCTGTGGAGGTCCTGCGGTGCAAAAGCAAAACATGATGACGCAGAGTGGCTGTAAACTGTAAGAAAAGTGTTAAAATTTATTGTTTTTCATATTTACCCTCAATTTGCATTGCGGAGGTAAAGTGTATTGTTTGGATTCACTAAAAATGACAAAAAGCACACCTTGTCACAACACAGTAGGTAGGCTAATCATTCAAAAAAATATTATTCTACCATTAACAGGTTAGTCTTTCTTCCATTTTCAAAATACAGATCTCAGTCTCTCAAATAAACAAGACCATTTAATTTCAATTCAAATCGAAAGATTTTTAGTGAAAATAAAAGCTTCAGATTTGTTCACCAACAGATCGTGTGCGCCGCTACTCATGCTCAACCCCCATTGGCTCACAGACCAAGGGCTCAGGAGGCAGGGCTGCAGTTGTAGCGCAGGATGATGACGTAAAAGCTTGCCGTTGAGCAGTCAGTGACTGACGTTGCTGCTCGACATGTTGATCAGATGAAGTATTAACATTAATTTTATAAAAAGGTTTTATTTTAAACTCATGATGTCTTGGGTTAAAGCTGTTTCGTACAACGGAGAAGACGTGTTTGACGAGAATGGGGACGACCTCAGTTTGCAAAGTAAAGAGTGGACATGCAACATGAAGAAGCGAGTCAAGGTAAAGCTAACCTTAATGTAGCTTTGTTAGCTTCCTTAGCTCACCTCCAACTAAAGAAATGTTCAATTTTGCGTGGATATCATAGAAGTTACTCCCCAGTATGTTTTCTCGCGCTCGTATTCATCGCATTAGTTGTGCCTTTCCCCTCCTGGCTGGTGTTACGGACAGGATGGTTACTAAGTTTGTGTGTTAATAACGTGAGCCTTTCCCCTCCTGGCTGGTGTTACGGACAGGATGGTTACTAAGTTTTAGTGTTACTAACGTGAGCTTTTCCCCTCCTGGCTGGTGTTACGGACAGGATGGTTACTAAGTTTTAGTGTTACTAACGTGAGCTTTTCCCCTCCTGGCTGGTGTTACGGACAGGATGGTTACTAAGTTTTAGTGTTACTAACGTGAGCCTTTCCCCTCCTGGCTGGTGTTACGGACAGGATGGTTACTAAGTTTTAGTGTTACTAACGTGAGCCTTTCCCCTCCTGGCTGGTGTTACGGACAGGATGGTTACTAAGTTTTAGTGTTACTAACTTGAGCCTTTCCCCTCCTGGCTGGTGTTACGGACAGGATGGTTACTAAGTTTTAGTGTCACTAACGTGAGCCTTTCCCCTCCTGGCTGGTGTTACGGACAGGATGGTTACTAAGTTTTAGTGTTACTAACGTGAGCCTTTCCCCTCCTGGCTGGTGTTACGGACAGGATGGTTACTAAGTTTTAGTGTTACTAACGTGAGCCTTTCCCCTCCTGGTTGGTGTTACGGACAGGATGGTTACTAAGTTTTAGTGTTACTAACGTGAGCCTTTCCCCTCCTGGCTGGTGTTACGGACAGGATGGTTACTAAGTTTTTGTGTTACTAACGTGAGCCTTTCCCCTCCTGACTGGTGTTACGGACAGGATGGTTACTAATATTTTGTGTTACTAACTTGAGCCTTTCCCCTCCTGGCTGGTGTTACGGACAGGATGGTTACTAAGTTTTAGTGTCACTAATGTGAGCCTTTCCCCTCCTGGCTGGTGTTACGGACAGGATGGTTACTAAGTTTTAGTGTCACTAACGTGAGCCTTTCCCCTCCTGGCTGGTGTTACGGACAGGATGGTTACGTAGACGGAGTTGATGCCGGGGAGGAGGCCTCACTTCAGGACGGTTTCAACCTGGGGTTCAGGGAAGGAGCAGCTCAGACTGTAGCTGTGGGCCGTCTCAAAGGAGTCGTAAGGTAAACCATCATGTTATTGATCCCATGTGTGGTTTATCTCCAGATTTAATATGAATATTGTGCTTTTTTTCCCCTCATGAAATACTGCGTACTTTCACATCGTTCTGCTTCTAAAAAGTCATGCAAACGAAACAATCCAAGAAGGAAAAATCTCTCTTTGGATGAAACTGCTCATAATTTATGTTAACATTGCTTCGTTTAAAGTTGTCACAATCAAAACCTGTTGACATCCACTGGTTTAGGTAATCCAGATCAGATACCCCAGTGTCTCCCGTACATCATTTATTTATTGCGGCCCACCACATTATCAACGCTGACCGCCACATACTGATTTTCTGTTTTTTCCTATTTAAAATGGGTAAAATCGTATTTAATTATAGAGCTGCGCTCAGCGTCATTCCCTTTCCCTCTCCCGCAAACACAGCAAGTAGCCTGGCTAATAAGGACAGCTGTTATTTTAGAATAGTGATCAACTCAGTATCAACTGCACTCATTTATTGGCCTAGCTGCATGAACTTATTGAAAATATAATTTTGGGGGTGGCTTTGTAGGAACACATGAAGGGAAGGGGTGAAATGTCTTTGGTTGGAAACTTTTAAAATCTTGCCCTCTCTTGCTTGTTTCTCCAACATTGAATACCCCAGCTTTAAGCAAAAGGGTGCTGGGTATCGTGTGAAATTTTTACAATATTATATTAATTATATTTAGAATTAATATTATTGCAATACAAACATGTTCTTCTAAAAAAAGCTTTTTTTTCATTTAACAAAAGAAGCCAAACATATTTTAAGTTTAAAAAAAAAACCAACAACTTGAAATAAATAAAATACATTCTTAAAATGGCAAAATTATGAAGAACCAGAGCTGCCACAAAGTTGAGTATTTGAGTAATTTTGTAAGAAAAAAAAGTCCAGCTTCTTGCCTGTGAATATTTTCTGGATTCTTTACTCCACTGACAGTAAACTGAATATATCTGGGTTGTGGACACAACAAGACATTTGAACCCAACACCTTTAGCTTTGGGAACCACTGACATTTTTCGTAATTTTCTAGACTAAATAACTAATTGATTAATGGAGAAAATAATCAACAGAATAATAGATAATGAAAATAATCTTTAGTTTAGCAACCCTAATCAGAACTAAGAAATGAATGAGTAAAAACAGAAGATGAATTCAAGCAAGAACTTAATGTGCATGGATGTGATGCTGAGCAGTTCCATATATTGTTTATTGTATATTTGTGTATTTGTCCCTTTTTGAACATTAAAAATCATGTTGTCTAGTTAGTATCAGCCCGACAGCTTAAAGTGTGATTTCTTTTTCATCCTAATCATATATTGGAACAATTTATTTTGATCATTTAGATTAGGGCTCAATGAAAAGATATCTAATTGTGATTATTTTGACTGATATTGCAGTGGCGATGTGATTTGTGATATTAGAGGTATTTTTACATTATTATTCTCATTTTCATTGAAAAACAAAGTAAAATGATTGTAGTGTGACTTTTCCTAGGATCTGTACCAGACAAAGATGTTTTCTTAAGTCTGTAGAATATTATGTGTAGTCCAGGACGTCTCTGCAGCTCGACAGCATTTCATTTAAAATGGGATTCTGACAAACATTTCGCCTTTAACAAATATTGCACCTCTTGTGATTTTGAAAATGTGATCAAATTTGATTAATTGTCCAGCCCTAACTTAAATGACTTTTTTTTTTTTTTTTTTTTTGCCCTGCCTTTCCATTTCTATGCACTGTTTTAAAAACACTCCTAACTGTAGTATTTCCACCTCTTTCTTGCACAGAAACATCACGGGCCTCTTTTGTTCTGGTCACTATTGAAAGCTCTTTTCTGTCCAGCAGATGCCTGTCCCAGTCTCTTCTCTGTGCCGTTGTATCTGACACTGTTGCCTCTTTGTGTCTCACGTCACAGTGCTGTATGGTGCTGGTGCCAGATCCAGCATCCGGAAAGCCCCGTCCCAGCCTCTGTGACTGACCTGCTGCAGCGGGTTTCACAGCATGAAGATGCGGTTATGGATGGCATCAGGAACGCTCTGGAGAATCCTCCTCCCAGCGTGAGTGTCGTCTCTGAGAGCATGGAGGACCTGGAGGTGAAGCAGGCAGAGCCCGGCTGCTGCGGAGAGGGATGTAAAGAAGCGGACTGCTGCAAGAGAGGAGACAAAATGGACCTGGGCGTTCCTCACCAGCATCCGAAGCTCTGTTCTGAGTCCACTGACTCCTCGTCCAGCTCAAGTGAGAGCCTTAACAACCTTGTGCAGCGCTGCGTGGGTCTCGTGTCAGAGCTTGGACTGCCGCAGGAGCTGATTGCTCACATACAGGAGCTGAAGAACATGTAGTGTTTCAGAATCACAGCTGTTTTGGCACATGAATTATGCAACAAACAGGTGTTGATGTAAATTCCTTACAAGGCAATGAAGTGCTTGTGATGTGTATATACTGTAAAATATCATTTTCATAACTTGTATAAGATGGTTGAAGAATACTTGAAAATAAAAATTGCTTTGCTTTATTTTACTGCACTTCTGCTGTTGCCCACTTAATTGAAAATATTACAAATATTACCCCTTATTTAGTATTGTCTATATATACACATATATATATTTTGTGGTGAAGAACTGCCATTAATTTGTTCTGATATCTGGAAAAATTTGGGGCCATTTGCAAAGCACACATCCGTTAAATTCATGCTGTGTAAATAAAAGCATTGCCACACAAAACCACAAGATAGATTTCATGTTATAAAATTTAGCAAGAAAACTCACCGATAGGGTTTAGCTGTAGACATCGTACACAGCATGCACAATTATTAGAGGAATTGTATTCCTCAGGATTAATTTAGTTGTTTAACAAGCACAATACTTTAAGTCAATCCAACATATAATTGAATCTCAAACCTGAATGTTTAACTAAAGTGAGTTTTGAGAATATGTAAGTGTGCAGAATTATTAGGCAACTCAATTACAAAAATAATTTCCATAAACTTGTTTATTCTCAATTTTTAAAGCAAGTGTAACGACACAAAATGATAAATTGTGGCCTTTCAAAAATATTTAGTAACCAATAAAGCCGCCCTTCTTTTCAGTAGCATGAGTCTGTCAGTTTCTTGATCTGTTCACAAACAACTTTTGCGAAAGCAGCAACCGCAGCTTCCCAAATGCTGTTTAAAGAGGTGTATTCCCTGACTGTAAATCTGACGTTTGAGAAGGGTCCACAGGTTCTCAGTAGGATTCAAGTCTGGTGAGTAAGGGGCCAGGTCATTATTCAGGTATCTTTGAGGCCCTTGCTGGAGAGGGTGTACCCCGTCTTTCGCCCGATTTCAGCTGGGATTGGCTCCAGGCCCCCCGCGACCCTGTATGCAGGATAAGTGTTGACGATCGATGGATGGATGGATGATGGCCTATACTGCATATACATTTTCTTGAGCTGTCACTGACTATTCCTATTGTCAGTGAATCTAATTAATTACTTTTTTTGATTAACTGATTAATTATTTGAGTCTTTATCGTGTCAGAAAATAGTGAAAAATGTGACGTCTTCAAATCGCTGGGAGGGGGGGGGGGTTCTGACCAGCAGTCCAAGCCTGTTGATCAACTAACCAATCAATCCACTAAATTAAATATTATTGCTGTTTGAGCATTAACATTTTGCTTAACCCCACGGTTAACGTGGAGTTGCGAGTTTTCCGAGTAGCACCTGAACGCAGCAAAAGCTCTCGTCGCACAGAAGTATGACGTCATGCGCTCGGACCGAGCCCTGACCTGCTGCTCTGGCTATGCTAAGGTTTCGCACCAACATATGTTCCGCATAAAATACAGTAAATACTCGTTATTTGTGAAATGTACCGCGTTAAACGAGAGCGGTGTAGTCATTATGAAGGGTAACCAGTGTGGCAGCAGTGGTTCTCATGAGCGGCGATGAGTCTTTAGTTGCGCATGTTTATATTTTAAGTTTACCTCAGCTAGCCTGGCGAGCTAACTTCAGCTTGTTTTCCAGCTAACCTGAAGTGAAACAGAAAGCGGAGCCACATGAGTGCAAGCTCGCGGAATTTATCTGTGATTAAACTCAGTCGAGGTATGTTTGTTTTTGGTTATTATTAATATAGCTGTGCTGTCATTATTGCTTCTTCCTTGTATTAACAGAAGAGTGTAGCCATGATTTAAGCTAATTTTACACTAAATGTATATCGTGAAAACGTAGCAGCAGGTTTTACACCAAATTCTGTGACCTGAATTGGAATTTCTGCTATAATGACATGTTTGTTTTTGTACGTTTTCACACACTGTATTTCAAATACTGCCCCCTCAGTATTAGCTTTAACAAATATTGTGACCATATAATGTTTACATACAGAGATGGTTGTATAGCAGCTTTCGTGTTTGAATGCAATGCAAGGACAGAGTCCAGAGTGAAATAAAAATACATAGGCACAGATGTGTACATATAAAACAAATCAAACACAAGAGTAAAATCACAAGCAATAAAATCATTAGGACAGAAGGAGACAGGGGGAAGGACACAGTAATCACTAGTTGCTATGCAGGTTAGGGAAATGCTCGGTTAAAAAGGTTTCTAAGATTTCTTTTGAAAGTATTCACTCATTGAGACACTCTTAGCTCCTCTGGCAGGCTGTTCTATAGGCGAGGACCAATCTTTTTCGTAAAGCTCTGGTGTCGCAGGTGTATCATTGCTATCACCATGTTTGATGGGTTACAGAATGTAATGTAACACCCATTATATCACACAGTGTTTATTTATTAATTAATTAATTATGTGATGTTGCACATTGCAAACATGGTTGTTTCCTGCTTTAGCAGCAGCTTGACTCTGATCATCATGGACTCCTGAAAGCTACAGGCTTCAGCGACTCCTCAGGTCGCTTGCGGTTGCTTTGGACCAGAGGTCGCCGTTCAGCCTACAACCTGCTTGACCTCCCAAGCAGAGGGAGCGAGCAGATGGGGAACTGTTGCTGTAAAGCTGAGAATCCCTGTGGAAGTGCGGAGGAAAGAAGTGGTTTGCTGGAAGAAGACCCAAAGGCCACGGTGCCCACAGCAGTGGGCAGTTGTGGTCCTGAAGGACATGACACAAGGTGAATATTTACCTTTTTTTGAGAGACCTCTAGCCAAATTTTTCCCTCCACTCTGTATGTTACTACATGATTTGGTGACACAGCGTTTCCGTATGCAGACTTAAGGGGAAAAATCTAAAAGATTTTTTGTACATGTTATTCAGCAGCAGGTTAAATCCTCAAAGATCCCACAGATGTGGAGAGTAAGCCTTTAATATGGCGCACAGATTCCAGCCGCAATAAAAAAAAATACAGAAGATTTCTCTTAATATCTGAAAACCCACTGGGAGAAAGTGGCTGAAGAAGCCAGGAACCTGATAACAAGCTCCTCTGGAATAAGAGACCTTGTGTATCAGTTAGTGCCACGTTTAGGGAGGTAACACCGATCCTGGTAGAAGCAGAGTAAACTCCCTGTGTGAAGAGTGCTGCGAGTCCAGTAGGATGCCCTGAGCTTTTTGTGTGGCTCTAAATTGAGTGGCAAAGATAATCAGTGACTTTAGGGTACATATTCAAACGTTTTCCTTCTGACTGAGTTCATAGCGAATGTTAGAACGGACTCATAAAAGGAAGTAATGAACACTTTCTAAAGAGACTTGCCAACATGGAAGCTTAGACGTTTGTGTGCTGTCTGTTTGTGGGAATTTTGTGTTTAAACGTTGGTTCTGACTCAGGCAAACATTTTATCTTCCCAGGCAGAAAGTAGACAAATCTGAGATCATGAAAACCCCTTTTAAGGATGTGACCCGCTGCTGAATAACAGGTTTTTTGTTTTTAAATTCAGATTTTCCCGTAAGGTTGCGTAGGGTGTCTTATGTGACATATGGATCGCTGAGGTGACTAACAGGGCTAGGGGACTTCCCGAGGTCTTAAATGGCATCAGGAAGAGAAATATTTCATTGTCATTTCACACATTACTGGTTAGTGCGGAGAGATTCATATTGATGACTGTTTTGATTATGGATTGCTGCAAACTCTTGTCTGTGTTTGTGGTTATGAAAACACTATTTCTCAAGATATCAAAGCTGCAACTGAGTTGGGGTTTTAATTTTAGTGTTTAAAAAGGATGTTTCTCTGTGTTATGTCACTCAGGAAAATGCATGATGAGGCCAGTGTGAAGGTGGAGGTAAAGGCTGAGGTTGTGGATTTGAAGCAGAGTGCGGGGTTTGGAGAGACTGAGCCCAATAACGCTCAGGAGAATGGACCCTTGCAGAAGGAGGTCTCACAAACAGCAACGCCGTCTCCCAGAAAGGCCTCTGAACTCCCCACCAGAGCACAAGATGAAGATGTGAAGTTCCCTCAGGCAGTCAGTGGACAAGCTGAAGTTCTGCAATGCACTTTAAACTGCCCGCAGACAGAGCACGCCACAGCTGACTGGGAGGTTTTTACAACAACAAAAGCGACACCAGAAGAAGAACGTCCTGCCCCAGCACAGGAGAAAATCCCTGATAGCAGCTCACTAACTAATGAGGCAGTTTGTCCTGAAAACCACACTGAGACAAACACAAGAGAGAACGTTACACTGGACACTGCTCATGATAACGACGAACTGTCGGCTCCAGAAGTTACTATTGACAACGCTGTAGCCGAGCCATCAGGGGAGTTTTCTCAAAATAAAGAAGTGTTATCTGTGCCAAACACCCGGCTCGCTGCAGCAGTTTGTCAGAAGTGGTCCATCTCTGCGTTCAGTGAGGAGATCGACAAAGAGTCTCAGAGCCGGTGAGTCACATGGCAAGACAAACTGTAAAGTTTCAGTTCCGCTGCTGTTTTGGATGTTGGTTAGAAACAGTAAGAAAAAATTTGCCTGCGTGGTTAAATCTGCAGCAGGCAGGAAGGACCTCCTGTAGCGGTCCTTGTCACAGGGGACGGGGCTGAGCAATACATTATTTATTTTATCATCTGTCATTCAAATTTATATTTGATGTCTAATAAACCGTAAAGTAAGTGACTATAGACCAGTGGCTCCAAATATGGTGGTTAAATATGAGGCGTTGAAGGCATGTTAAAAGGTCGGGAAGCAGAAAAACTCCCCTGCTTCATCAAAATTAGTTTTGTTTTTTTTCAGACTTTCCTCTTCATTTTCTGGTGAATTGCTTGATTTAAAATTTTTTTTTACCTTTTTAGTTGACTTAAACAACAAACTTTATGTCAAAGTGGTTGCAACCTGTTGGTAACTTTAGCTTGCAACCCCTTAAAGTAAATAAATCAAGAACCACTGAACTGGACAACCTGTCACACAATTTTTCACTCCTGAACCGAGACCATGGAGAATATTTATACTGGAAGAAGGTCTCCTGACTATTCTTGTGTTTTACAATGTTTTTACAAATTCAGTTAAATTCAATGGGGCTTTATTGGCATGAGATGCTTACATTGCACATTGAAAAGTGTGAAATAAGAAACATGTAGGATTGTGTTATTAAAATAGATAGATAAACATAATAAAAAATGTAGACTTGCATTTAAAAAAATACAAATAACTGAGAACCATATAAACACAGCAAACCTTTAGTAAATATAAGTGTGTGTGTGTGTGTGTGTGTAGGTCGTCTGGGTCAGATTAGACTAGACAACATTCGATATCCAAGTATATTATACGCCTGTAGCTGTTTGGGGTTTTTTTGACGTTGTTTGCTGTCCCGAGGTCACCATTGCTTTAATCATTATCCCTCTCTTATCTATGGTTGTATAAGGTCATTGAGGGCAGTGTTGCAAAATCAAAGAGCAGTCCTGGCAGTATGTGAGTTATGGGTGTAATGAAGTAACTTGACTGGTCATACACTGGGGCAAAAACAGAAAATCTGATCCGATTTAGTTCTATAAATATATATTCTATCCATATCACTCATCAGCGCTTCTTTTCCCATCAGTGGTACGCATCAGCTTGCTACATGGAAATGATTAAACCTCTCCTGTCATCCTGTGTCCAGTGCTGTGACAGAGGATTCAGAAAACAGGAGTTGTTCAGCATGCAAGCCTGCCGGTCCTGAAGTCATAAAAAGCCACGATGTCTCCGAGTCTTCTCCAGATTCAGAGCCCACGGGACTCGACCACAGCGGTGAGGATCGACACGCCGCCAACTCTGTAAAGGAGCCAGAGACCACAGCTCCGGCAGACGCCAGTGTGAGGTCAGTGAGTTCATCAAAACAAGACACTTGTTTACATAAACTGTGCACTTGTGTTTTTGATAGCCTCCCTGTGACCACTAGGGGGCGTACAGTGCACACTACTATTCTTCTGTTTTTCCTCATAACTTCTAATAATATACAACTAAATGTTTCATGATAGAAGATGTCATTTAAGTGGCACATTTTGTAGAATGCTTTCATAATGTGAGTTAAAGACACCAAATCAGAATCAGAAATACTTTATTGATCCCAGCGAGGGAATTTGCTACAGTTGCTCACTTAGAGTAAATGTGTAGAAGTATGTACAGTATACTATAGTATGTGACAGAAGTATGATGATTAAATAGTGATGATGAGTACTGATAATATTGAAAGCTAAAAATTGCAGTATTGGGACAGAATAAACCAGAATATTGCACATTAAAAGTATTTAGTAACTTAAATATATATATAAAGCAGGAAGATGAATTCTCTCTGCAGCTCAAAGTCCGATCACGATGCAAAGCAGGATCCCGAATGTGCAACTACGAGGTTGAAGGAGGTCACTTCCTTGGAGAACACCAAACAGGATATTGGGGAGGAAATTATACTGAAAGGGCAGGACAAAGATGGAGATGTTCCCAAAGCGAAGCAGGGTGATGAGATGAAGGAGGAGGGGGAGAACGCTTCCACCGACGCTCAGGCTGGGAAAGATGCTGAGATTCAGGAGGTAACTGGAAGAGAGGAGGAGCCGGCAGGGAGCCCATCTGCTGACGTAAAGGCCGATGTTACAGAGAAGGAAGACTCTGCTCAAGGTGGCCTGAGGAACAGGTTTGTTATGATCGTTTCTGAGATGTGGATTCATCCCATATCATGTGTTAGTCAGTTTTTCCGTTGACAGATTGAGACACAAGTAGAGCACAACACACGGAGGGACTAATTAAAACTGTAGACTCAACATGATCTTACGAGATATCATCCGCTGAGACATCGTTGGATGTGTTGTTCCCTCAAAAGTAACCACTAAGAATACACAGTTCTCTAGAACGTGAAATGGGATTTTGGTACAAAAACATGAGAAAAAACTTATTATGTAGCTATTTTGTCATTTATTGTGATGGTTTGGAAGATAATCCAATAAACTGAAGAATCATTTTCAATTTGTTTTGGGTATGAAGGGTAAGATTGATGTTTTACTGTATGTGTTCTCTCCATACTTTCTGAGTTCCTTGCTCTATCTGTGACACTCAACCCCAAGACCATTCGTTCATACTGACGACAAAACTCTTTAAACAGGGGATACAAACATGCAGTACATTTTAATTTGGTTAAAAAGTAGAAGTCAGTTCTTAAAATAGGTGGGCACTATGGTTTTAGGAAACATTGCTCATAGTGACTATTTTCAGCTGCGGATTAATACACATTTGGGGCTCTAGTGTATATTTACAGCAACAGGATGACGCATGGGAGATTAACTTAAAATAAACTACAGTGTTTTAGACAACAAGATATATCAGGCTTTGATACACAGACAGTTAGGTCTGTGCAATTAATCACATTTTATTTTCAGTTTGCCTTCAAACGATTATAAAAACAAGATAAGCGAGATTAAAAAAAAGATTGTTGTTCTGCTTCGAAACAATGCACTTGTTTTGTCTGAATCCATCGCACCCCTTTCCTTTCCAGCTGTGGCTCCCGCCCACTCCCTAACAGCCCAAACTCCCTCTCAGCCAGGCTGAGGCAGTCAAGTTCAGCTCTGGCCAAGATTACCGGAAGTTATAATTGCTATAAGTCAATATTTGATAGTTTAACTGCTCGTCAGCATAATTAGCTTAAGCCTACGGGACTTTACACTGCATAAATTAGCACAGCAGCTGGTGGACCTTTCCTCTACTCTTAGTAGTTCTTACTTACTGTTGGTTTAAGTCACAACATCTTCTGACAGAACTCCACTGTTGAATTTCAGCGCTATGTAACATCAGTTGTCGTCAGCTCAGTGGTTCACCTTCAAATAGTTCAGTAAATGCATGATGCCAGCAATGCCAGCCTTATGCGTTAAGTGTTGTGTATTGTTTGTTTTTTATCCCTTTAGTGAAGAAGACTTGTACAGAGGAGCTGAGGAGCTCTCAGCATCACAAGAAAATAAACCAGGACCACCGGCTGTGCTAGAAACTACACGTCAGTACATCCCAATCACATCTTTGTGGCGAAATTGCATCAGAGATTTCAAAACAACACTACTTTTGTTGTGTCATGTAAAATATAGAGCGTAGTCCTTTTGTTTTGTCCATCATGTCATCTTATGCTCCTCTCTCTGACTCAGATTTAAAGGTGGAGGACAGATGCAGTCTGGCCCCGGCGATGGATATTCTGTCTTACAGTGAGAGAGAGTGGAAAGGAAATACCGCCAAAAGTGCGCTCATCAGAAAGGTCGGTGGCTGCAGCTCCTGGGAAGAAGTGTTTCAGTTAAAAACCAGTTGTTGTTTTTTCACGTTAATGGCTAAGAGATTTCCTGTGGTGTCCCCTGTGTGCTGCTGCAGGGTTATAAAGAGATGTCCCAGAGGTTTGGCAGCTTGAGGAGAGTGAGGGGCGACAACTACTGTGCCCTCAGAGCCACGCTGTTCCAGGTGCTCTCCCACAGCACCCAGCTGCCCGCATGGCTGCAGGAGGAGGACATCACTGAGGTAAATGCTCACTCAACGAGATGGTATCAATTGAGTGTTAGCCAAGCCCCATGCCCGTTGCAACATCTGTCAAGCGTTCTGTTGTCGGTCAGCAGTTTACAGTCATTTTTAAACAATGGGTCATTTATTTCTGACAACGGTAACAGCTTTTTATTTTGCCAGTTCAAATGACAGCTGCTGCTGGCAGATTATTTTAGCTGTTACGATGCTGAAGTTAGCTGCCGATTCGGCAGTTACGGGGAAAGTTAAGGGAAACTTAACTTTGCTGAGTGACTGATTGTCAATTTGTTGCTGTGAAAGGCATTTTAGGCAAAGCCTTGAAGCTGTCTGAGACACACTTTAAGATTTGTAAAACCTTTATTTTATTTTAGATCAAAAAATAAAATGCCTATAGAAGAAAGGTTTCACAAATAAAACAAAGGTTTTATAAATCTTAAAGTGTGTTTCAGACAGTGCTAATGCTTTGCCTAAAATGCCTCGCAGCTTTCACAGTAAGAGATGCAACAAATTGAGGATCAGTCGGAAGCTAACTTCAGCATCATGTATCTGTTGCTAGCTAATTAAGACAATGTTATCTCTGGTAAGCTCTGGCTGGGGTTGCTTGAGGGCAGCTTACCCAAATCAAATAAAGAGCAGGATAGAGCCACAATCGTTAGCCTAAATTATGATGACAAAATGGTACACAGAAGATGTGCTAGTCAGAACAGGACTTCTTTCACCGTTACACTCACTCCACAAAGTTAGCTAATGAAATGCTGCTTGGAAAGTAACACTTGTGCTGTGTCTCAATTCGGGTACTTCCTTGAGTATACTAACATGCAATACACTGCATACACTATGTACTAGTGCGTTATTTTTGACAGGGTAGTGTTGTCTCAAATCAAAAACTGCTGTTCTGCACCGGAAATGACTAGAGGCCGCCTGCAGAGCTCCAAAATAAAATGCCCAGAATCGGGTTTATTGCCAAGTTCACACTTACAAGTAATTTTCTTTGGTATATTGGTGTATAAAAGCAATAGAAAGCAAGTATTGTAACCACAACTGTACACTTACTAATGTAATGTCTGAAGAATAATGATTAATAATGACAAATAAAGTAATGACAGTCCCCCTCATAATATTTCTCTTGTTAATTTATTTATTTTTTAAGTTTCACAAGCCAAGAATTTTCTGTACATCACGAGCCAGATGTCTCTTCATTTAATTTAAATTAGTGTAATGTAATGACAGAATAACAGCAGTACGAACATTAAAACTGTCTTGCAGCTGTGTTTTGCTCTGCTGCTGCGTTCAAAACTGACGGGTGGCTGCAGCCATACCGACTCTCTGAGCTGGCTGCAGAGGTCTGTGTGACTGTGGGAGCAGAGGGCTCTGTGAGCGGACAGCTGGCCGGCCTCGCTAGCTCCTCCGGCGTGTTGGCGCAAGCTTCCCACACCACCACTTGCGGAGCTTCTCAACTCCAAAAACGTACAAAAGCACATTTTTGATCCGCCAAACTGTCAATATTCGACATATACACATTTGATTTCTCGCCTCAAAACTTCTCAGAAGTGGATTTAGTGATGAAATAGAGTACGAAACTTGTAAAAGACATTCTGTTGTTGGCCTCTCTCTCTGCTGCCAAGGGGGTTAGCCAGAGATCGGACAGTGAAGCCGACCAAAGCCTGCATGGAGGGATCCGTGTGTTTGACAGGTGAACATTGTAGGTGGGCTGATTAAACAGTGACGATCCGAGTCAGACAAACACACTGAGCCATGAAACTTTTTGTTGGCGCATTTATACAGCTACCAGAATTACGGTGTTTCTGCCGTTGTTCTACGTCATTAAACCACAGTTATGCTGCGCGATCATGCGCAGTAGACACTGGTGCCAACAGGAAGTGGCCCTGTAGTAGTATTTTATTGGTCCAAAACTGGCTTCACTGCTCCATTCAAATCAGCGGGGTGGCTTCGTCCAGTAATATACTGTCTGTGTCTGCTGCTTCCCATTTCTTCCGTGTTGTTGGTCCCGCCCCTTCCGCTACGTAGCTAAAATGTTGAGGGTGAAAAGTGTCCACTGTTCCACACTCAACTTTTTGGCCGTTATGAGCGTACCATCCGGGTACTCGCAGCATTTTGCCTTACTTCTCAGTGTGAACGCACTTACGCACTCAAAATAGTAAGTTTAAGTATGGAAGTGCGCAAATTGAGACACAGCAAAGGTTATTGCTGTAGTAAGCTAATTAGCTAGGCTAACGATTGCAACTTGCATTGGAGCAAATTAACACACTGTTTCATTCATTCCCGCCACACTTGCTGTTGTAATTTTGATTTTGGAAAGACCTGCTGTTTCTAGCTGTGGTTGCTAAGCTTTGATTGGACAGTTGCTTTTGGAGGTGAGGGGTTTCGCAAGAAAAGACATAAAATGAGAGAAAAGACACAAAAACCCCACAAAAATATAGTTCTAAAAGGACTGACCATGTTTTAATAATGTCAGGGCTTCAGCTCCTTTAAACAGCTGAAATTACATTTTAAATCTCTGTGTTTACAGCTTCCGGAGCAACTGGAGGCCCAGGAAGGTCTGATAAGTCAGTGGACATTTCCTGGAGAGTGCCTGCAGGGAGATGGGACTGCAGATACCACCCTGCAGCTAAAAGGCTACATGGAGCTTCTCCGAAATAAGGTAGTGACTCAGAAACATGTGAGGAAGTATTTTTTTCTGCCATCCGTGGGCGTAGAGGGTATTCTTAATCATTCACAGATTTTTAGATGTGATTGCTACATATGTTTAAAGCTTCTAGATGCTGCACTGCTCCTTCTCTCAAGGGCTTTTCTTTCTCTGTGTCATTAACCACAAAGCCTAGTAATGCTCTAAAGGATTTGGAGGGATAGATGAACCCTCAGCCTCAAAGAAACTGTTTCAGCTGTTAAAACCACTGTGTCTCGTCACTATAACAGTATGAGGCCCCAGGCAGAATGTAATGTCTGTTGCTGTCACTGGTAGCTTGAAAGGAATTGTGGTGTTTACTGCACTCTCGTTTTTTAAAAGTCAGACCTCTGTTGCTTTAGGAGAGTTAGAGGTAGCACTCAGAACAGACTCAGAGTGTTAATGTTGTTCTGGTCTGTGCTTGTTCTACAGATAATGTAAATATTACGGCGGTGTGACGATACACGATATTGGGTCCACGAGAACAAGATGATATACTATAGTCAAGAAATCTTCAATGATGAAATATATCGTCTTTTATTCGACTGAGAGTCACAAAATGCTAAACAGTGCAGGTGCAGTTTGAAATGTTGCAAACAAATTGTTCGTGGCTCGTCTGTCAGTCTGTCCCGTTTATTGTTTTCACCAGGTTCATAAATGCTGCCACACAAATGATTCAAAAGTGGCAGGGGCATCTCCTGTGATAATTTCACTCCAGCAGTCTGTCATGCTGATATCGTGAGACACCTCGATGAGAAATATCGTCACGTTCTAATATCGCGAGATCTCGTGTCACCCCTATTAAATACCGGTTGGATAAACAGATTTTGTCTGTGGCTGTAGTTCTGTTGTTACATAATATCTGACTATCTTTTTTGAACAAATTGCTTGAAGAAGTAAAGTCAGAAAATGAATCATTTACTACACTACTATACTTTTTCAACATTCCTGTTCTGCATCTAAAGGAGATGGTCAGACAAATAGACTGAGATTCAAAAATGATGTCTGGTGTTGGACATGACATAACTTCTTTCCTGTTACGCAACGGTGATGTTTGAGTATGTGGTAGGGTTGGTTTCCAGTTTATCCGGTCCGATGTACATTTGATGTAAGCTTAGTGAACTGGCATTTGTCTTGAGAGATGTTCTGGCCAATTGAAAGCAACCAAGGAGAAGTTCTCAGCGATGTCAAACCTTGGATTATATTCAACACAGGGGACCAGAGCATATAAAATAGTATGCACAAATACAGCTGCGCTCAAGAAATGTAACAGCCACCTCACCAATGGTTAAAACTATAAACCAGCACAAGGAGGGCAACAAAACCATGTTCTCAACAGACACAAACACTGACGAAAAACTTTGGAGCATAAAACACGTTGTTACAGTACTCTCAGTAGGATCTGCGCTTGTGTCACAGTACGCGTCACAGCTGAGCAGACGGTGTCTTCACGGTAAGCTGCTAACTTGTTTAATAAACAAATTTCTCCCGTCATTTTCCCTTTTCAATATGACTCTAATATAACCCTGTCCCTGACAACCATCATGTCTTAGCAAGGAGGCTAGCCAGCTATAGTTTGATATAGTTTGTCAGTACAGTAAGTAACGTAGCAGACTGAAAGTTATATACGAAGCCTTATTAAAGTAACTGCATTAGTCTCTCCAACCCGTTGCTCCGATGAAGATATCTTCCAGCTGTTGATCAGATTGCCATGAAACTTTGTGTGAATATATTTATGGTGCTGTCGAGGGACCATGAATATTTCTAATTATTTCTTAACACTGCCAGGTCAGAATTTCCCCTTGACCAGTACTTTTGCTTATCACAACAATGTAAATATTTTAATAGCCATATTTCCATCATGGCACCCAGAGGATGAATCCTAATGTTTTGGCGACCCCCTGACCTTTTCATCTGCTGCTACCATCAGGCCAACATGCCAACTTTGCACACAAGATATCTCATAATTTAAGCTGCAGCTAACAATTCTTTTCATTATCAATGCATTTGCTGATTATTTTCTTCATTGATCAATCTATAAAATGTCACAATGCTTAAAATACCCGTCACAATATTCAAAGGCTTAAGGTGACTTCTTCAAATTGCTTGTTTAGTGCGACAGGGATATTAAATATACTGTCACATTAAGACAAGAAGACATGAGACATAATTAAGATGATGGCGCTAGGTAATGTTTGGCTTTTGTGCTTCAAAAATGACTAACAATCTATTATCAAAATAGTTGCTGAATAATTTACTGTCACTTAACTAACTGATTAATAGATTGTTTCAGCTCTACATCCATGCTTCCAGGAGAAATTTGATTCAAAGGACCCCATGGCCTTCCTTCTTGTACCTCGCTCAGGACAGAAATTATTGCAGTTACTGAATATGAAACACACAATCACGTAGTCTAAAATGTCTTCAGATTGCTTTTTTTGTCTGACAATAACAGTTTACAGTGAAAGTAAATAGAAAACCGCTGCAAATCCTCACATCTGTAAAGCTATAACTAGCAGACATTTGTACTTGATAAATGACTTCAGTGATTAAATGCAAAATAGTTGAGATTCATTTCATTGCTTTGTTTCCAGTGGCAGGCAGCAGTGGACTGCTCCTCCGCTGTGGAGCGGCAGCAGCTGTGCGAGCAAGTGTTTCAGGGAGGAGAAGAGGAGCTGGGGCTGCTGGAGGCGCTCAAGCTGCTGATGCTGGGCCGAGCGGTGGAGCTGCACAGCTGCATGCAGGGCGGCGGTGACGTCCCGCTCTTCTGCTGGCTGCTGTTTGCTCGAGACTCATCCGTCTGCCCACGCTCCTTCCTCTCCAACCACCTCCGCCACGTGGGCCTCAGCGCCGGGCTGGAGCAGGTAAGAGAAGCCAGGGCATCTTTTTATTTATTTATTTATATGACGCAAGCTCAGGCATTTAGACATGTCGTTTCATGGCATGAAGGGAGCATTTACATTAACCCGTCATGGAAAACAACACTTAGAAAGAAAGTAAGTAGCTGCTGGGATTTTATTTTATCCAGGAATTAATCACTGCGGAATAAACCGTTGTCACGCTTGGTAACCAACAAAAACAACTGATGTCATGAGATTAGGCGTGTAACTTTCTCATCAACCTGAACAGTAAAACATGCCGCCGCTTGTGCTGTTTTCTGGCTGTAATGCTTCTGCCCCTGCCCCAGGGTGGAGGAGGTTTCAGGAAGGGCAAGCGCAGATTTAATTGTTATTTGGACTTTTTGGATTGAAGCTTTTACAAGCGCCGTTTCCATAAAGAAACCCCACCCGTAAATATCATGCGCTTGAGCAGCTGAAAAACATTGTGCTGTTTGTTCGAGGGTGTGTTTTGATCTGGGCTGTTCTGTAACCATGCAATTACCTCCCAGCTTTGTGCTTTTTGTGCAGGTGGAGATGTTCCTGCTGGGCTACGCCTTGCAGCGCACCATTCAAGTTTACAGACTGTACAAGGCTGACACAGAGGAGTTTGTCACCTACTACCCAGACGACCATAAGGACGACTGGCCGTCCGTGTGCCTCGTCACAGAGGATGACCGCCACTACAACGTGCCGGTTGTAGAATCTGCAGAACTGCATAAGGAGCTCAACTCGAGCTGATCGCCAGTGCAGAGAAATCTGCCATACAAACAAAACACTCCTCAGGTTGATCAAGAAGTAATAGATTTACGCCAATTAAAGAAATCGTTGGACATTTAGGGAAATGTGCTTTCGTGCTGAGAGTAAGATGAGATGATTGATAAATATGACGCTATAGCAAACCGCTGTTTAGCTTAGCACAAATAGTGCAAACATGGAAAAAGCTACTTTCCAGCACCTCTAAGGCTCAGTAATTACAAATTATTTCTTGTTTGCTTAATTTGAGCAAAAACTGTGGAAAAATGACACGTGGTTTTACGGACTATTTCTTGGCGGCGCGCAGTCACTTCCTGCAGTCTTGTTGTCACGATGAGGATAAACAAACAAGATATAATGCGTTAATTATTGGGCTTTACAAGTACTGATAGGTATATTTTAATACCTTTGGACAGAACCAAGCTAGCTGTTTTACCGCTGTTGGCAGTATCTGGCTAAACTGGTGCTAGCTTCATATTTAGAGTAGAGACATTTCAGTGGTGTTGATCTTCATATCCAACTCACAGCAAGAAAGCAAATATATCCCCAAATCTCAATCTATTTCTTTAAAAAATATATATGCTGATTTGAGACCCTGTACAAGATGTGATTTACACACTTCTGTACACACTGTACTGTATACAGTTTTCTATTTGGGTACGTGTACATATGTGCATCTGATACTGTGGGATTATCTGAGTTTGGTTCAAATTAGTCTGCAGGGTGTCATTTTGACTCCTGACCAACCTTTTATGTACAGCGCCAAAATGATTAGGTGGTCAGTGTTTATACTGGAATTTGGGCACTTTGATTTGTGTGTTAATTTATTCTTTTTCATTATTTAAAAAAAAAAAAAAGCATTTAAGTGTGACAGTCGTTAGTGAAACGACTGAATTAGTCAATGAAGGGTTTGATGATTTATCAGGTTCAACAACAGCTCACACCAGATGACGATCGGAGGACTTGGAGGATTAATCGCAGCCTCTGTGTCAGAGGTTTTTGTGATGGTCTGTGTGTATATGTTTGCAACTGTGTGTGCGTATGTGTCAAACTCAATGTGTAACATGTTGCCTTTAACCAAGCTGTTCTGAGGGGGGAAAAAAATGTGCCAATGTTGCTGCAAATACTGGCAACAGTCCCAAACACCAGCCACTGGAATTCAGTAGTAAACACTCGCTTGGTCCTCCATGTTGCCTTAGAAATAATGCACAATAAGAATGAATGTTGGTTATTAGTGGTAAGAGGCCATTTCCTTGCCCTAATTCCAGAGTAGGTGAAGGTGATACGGTAACAGTAAAACATTGTGCCATTTGCAGAAGTGTTCTTGCACTGTCAGATTTTTGGATTTAGATACAATGAAAGTACAATTTTTGATGGTTGATTCATTTTATCAACTTGATACTGAACTGATGGAAGTTTCAGAAGTTGCGCTACAGAAAATGACATGACGTCTGTAAAACATGGTTGAATACAATGGATTTTCCTAAACTGTTGACTGTACTTTGTTTCAAAATCCACATAACGGTCTGGCGATTAGAGTGTTGTAGTATGATGTCTAAACGGAGTTAAACATAACTTCATTATGTAGATACTGTACATTTGTTTTGTCCTTCAATGACAAAACAAATGTTCATGCATAGCTCAAAACAGGAAATATTTCCTTATTTAGTTTAATATGCTTTATAATGCTTTTTGTCACCTTGATCGTAAGTGTAAAACTAGTTTGTGTTAAAGGGAACCGTTACCACTTAAATCCTTTTCTACATAGGGGGGGGTAAGGTCTGCAGAAAAGGACCCCACACACCTGGGACTTAAAGCCAGTGTCAACAAAACAAGGTAATAATAAAGCTATTTATTTACCAAATAAGAATGCCTATACAGTATATACAGTACATACGACAGTCTGATTACTACCAGGAAAATGCTTAGCAAAACAAAAGTAGATGGACTCCCGGACTGCATGGAAAGTGAACAATCATAACTGTATTCTGTAACACACGCAGTAATATAACGAGGGATTCCTGACCCCTCTGGGAAATTAAATATACACATTCCATTACCTATATAAAACAACAATAATCTGTACACAGTTGTATGTAAAATACGATTGCACAACCCAACAAGTCCCACAACATGTCTATATTTGAATTCAAGCAAGGCATTGCTGCTTAATTTTGATAAAAATAAAATAATGAAATCTGTATTTTGGCAACTCCCAATACCACTCGACAGACGTTTCATTCTCGCTGCGGAGGAGGAAAAGTTCTCCTGTGTCATTTTCCCTTGTTTACCAGTAAACACAGTAAAGTGGTTAATAAACCTGCTGATGTGATGATGCAAAACTATGAAAACTTGAAAAAGTCGGAAGACAAAAGGTATTTACACTGATGAACGAACACCGAGGTGCATGGCTTTCTTTACAGTGTGCGTTTAAAATGGTGTGTAGGTCGACGTGAAGGAGACTTCGTCACTTATTTAAAATTCAGTCTGTCCTCTGAAACCAAACCATGCAGGTCCTCTCGCTCTCTCCTTTCCAGCACTGTCACACTCGGCTGTCTCCTCTCCAGCAAAGTTCCACATGGAGGTCGACTTTACCTCCCCCCTGATGTCAAGAGATCACTCATGTTCTTCCTCCTCCTCCTGGAGCTCCTCGATGGCGTCCATCTGAGACCTGGAGGACACCTCGCTCATCTGGGCAGAGTCCTCGCCCTCCACCACCAGCTCATTGGACATGTCATTGTTTTTCTGCAGAGACGAGAAAGAAGAGGAAAAAACGCACAATCCTTCAAAAAGTCACTGAGAAAAGGAGCATCTAGCACTGCCAAAAGTTCCAGCCAAGGCCAATCTCACACTTTGATAAGGAACTGGAAGGCCACAATATAACTAGTAATCCAGTCCAACATGGCTGTGATTACAGTAAATTTCAAACTGGGAAATGACTGATGCGCATTGAGAGAGCAGATCGAGAAGGGTGTCGCTGCTCTTTCTGAAAAAGTGAACGTTGAAACATTTCCCAAATATGTACTCTGGTAGCTCTAGTGGGAACGTGAGTACATATTTAGATGAGATCAATGAGATATGTCCATTAGATCGCTACCGCTTAAAGTGGAATCAGGTAGTCTGGGTCTGTCCAAAGGTAAGAAAATCCTCCTACCAGCTCAGCAGTTATATCTCGTCAGATTTTGTACAAACTAAACAAAGAAGATATAACTTAACTCTTGAGCTTTGGCAGTGCTGGTAGGTGGCCTTGGGGTCAAAGTAGGGCTGAGCAATTGATCAAATTTCACAATTTTGGCTTCCAACAATAGTGAAAACATAATAAAACAATGTGTGATTATTGTGAGGCTCTCGATATGTCTTGAGTTATAAATCCAGCGAACCCCTTTCCTCTCCAGCTGTGGCTCCCGTCCTTCTCTAAAAGCACAAACTTCCTCTCAACCTGGCTGTGGCAGTTTAGTTGACCCGGGGTTATGACTGCTATCAGTCAAGATATAAGATAACCATTAGTCACCATTATTAGCTTAAGCCTACGGCATCTTACACTGCATAAATCAGCCTAGCGGGCAGTAGAAATTTCTACTCGTTATTTATATTTTTCTTACCCTTGTCATACAGCCTGGGTGCTTACTACTTCTGTTCTGGTTCAAATCACAGCAACTCCTGACAGCACACCAGGTTTGAATTTCAGCGTTTCGTAACAAAGAGTCAGCACGAGTAGTTCACCTGTGACCTGCACCACCGCGTGACCCCCTTCCCCAGCAAGCAGTCAACCTGGGCAAACACTGGGTTGCGGTCATCCTCTTGCGCTCTAAGATGCTGTTTAAAGTAAATAATGCTGGAAAACTATTTCTTATTTCGTTAGTTATTTCAATGTAGGACTTTTGGGGTAGTCAGAATCAGAAATACTTTATTGATCCCTGAGGGGAAATTCTTGTGTTACAGTTGCAGGAAACAAAGAAAAAATATACAAAATTGAATACTAAAATAAATATCAAATATAAAAAAGGATTGGATATGTACAGTAATTTTACGGTATTAACAGAAGTGTAATGATAAACAGTAATGAATAAATAGTAATAACAACAACAACGATTACTGGTAGTGTTGAGGTGGAATGGATTCAAACATTTAAAAACTACAGTACTGGGATAGAGTAAACCAGAGTATATTGCACATTTTGTCAAGTATTGCACTACAAGGTTGACTTTAGAGTCAGACAGTCTGAAACATTTTATCACCACAGGCAGAAATTACTTCCTGTGGCGCTCTGTGGCACATTTTGGAGGGATGAGTCTTGCACTGAAAGTACTCCTTTGTTTGATTAGCACGTCACGGAGTGGGTGGGAGACACTGTCCAAGATGACACGTAGATTGGACAGCATCCCGCTCTCTGACACCATAATGCATGGCGTAATGTATATTTGTATTTTTAATGAAGCATTCCATTTTAAAAGTTAATAAATGCACATTTCCTAAATCAATGAGTAATCATGTTAAATAATCATAATCTCATTACTGACCACAATAAAAAGTGATTATGATTTTTATCAAAATTCAAAAAGACATGCTGGCAGGCTGGACTTTGTGCTAAGCCGGCTGCAGCTTCATAATGGACACTGGACAGATATGAAAGTGGTATCGATCTAACTCTAATCAAGAACGCACATTTCCCAAAATGTTGACTATTCCTTTTAAAGTAAGAAACAGACAAAGTCTAGCAAGCTGGAAACATCTGCCAGCTACGCCATTGTTTCTTCGATAAATGATTGTGAAGATTGTGTCGCTTTGAGACTGATTTCTTAGAATACTGTTCTTTAATATAACCCTGTATATTCTAGACTCCATCAAGCTGCATAGACTAACAGCTGTTCTAAGTGAAAGGTCTTCTGAATGAAATGTCTTTTGTGGCTTGTGTTTATTATAAATTAGTTTCAGTTAACATCCCTATTCAAGCTGAAAAGAGTGGCCCTAATGAGCGAAGTGACACACCTGGTTTAAAATGGCTGCTGATGGGTGGGATATTCAGAAAGGAGGGAATAAGGTGTGTACAATGTAAATGTTTGCAGTGACCAAAATCCTGAGGCCTGTAATATGAAGCAAGGTAACTGGCGTCTCCAGGTATATTCAGGAGTAACTTTGTGATGACGGGTGAAACTTCCCAAAGAACCCGTTCTACTAAAAAGGTAAAAAGATATGCAGTCATGGAAATTGATGTTGCTTCCCTAAACTGCTCTGAGCAGGTTATCGTCATGGTTAATTCAATATTACCTTACATATATGAATAGACTATTTTAAGTGTAGGCTACACACCCCATCGGTCATTCTTAACACAACATCATCACATTCATGCAGGTAGCACTACCGCCTCTGTGCTTTAGGGAGTAGAGCTTAATTCTTTAACAGGTCAATTTCGAAGTAGCTCATGTGTATAATGGAATTACCCGAATTGTTTTTACATATTTAGATAAACTAGTTTGTGTCCAAACAATATGTAGCCAGAGGAGGGGTGCAATAATAAGAGATAAAAGTGGTACATTTGCAAGAACAAAACTCAGAAATTCCCTGAGAAATGTACAAGAAAAAAAAAACAATTCAAACCACTCTGTTTTCTACTGAATAGGCCCAATGTCTGTTACTGTCATGCATTTATGACTAATGTCAGAGAATATTCAAGTTTTTTTTACTTTACTTTTACTTAATTTGGGATTTCTTTCTCTTATATTTACCACTTTAATCTCACTTTTACCTCGGCTCATTACCCCTCTCTCCATATCACAGATAAAAGAAGAGTCATGCAACAAGAACACTGTAGAGTTACGAATTTACTCTGTCAGCAGGGCCACAACGGTGTTACGAGTTGACCATTAATGTTTCTTTACACTCCTTATTTCCTTTGATAACCCCCAAATTTAAATCTGAGTAGGTTAAACTTCCTTTGTAGTGGAGGGTACGTAAGTGTCAGGTAAGTGTCCTCACCTGTTGTCGATAAACATAGCAGGCTGCTATGGCAACCATTGTCGACTCCCCTACGAAACCGGCCAGGAGGGATCCAACCCCAAGTGTGGCCCCGTGAACCCTGAAATACAAAAAGGATTGTGTGAAGTTTTCAGTCGCTGCTGCTGCCTTTTGTCCAGAATGATTTTACAGTTTTAGTGTTGAAGTGAAGCCTCCTCCTTTCAGGAATAAAAAAGAAGAACATACATTTTACCAGAAGGACACACAATACTGTATGACATAACACAGTAAGCCTGAGTCACAGTGCTGACCTTTGTGACCCTGACAGTGTTCTCTGAAGTGTTGACTTACCCCATATAAGGCAGCACAACTAGACTGGTGATGAGGACAATGATGCGGAGAACCGAGCTGGGGGCCAGCACAAAGGTCTTTTTCAGGGTCATGAGCCATCCAGTCAAATGAGCCCGAACAGTCACTGCAAACACACAAAGTGGAAACATCACCCCACTGGTCCAAGCTACGCCCTGGTTAAA